AAAAAAAAAAAAAAAAAAAAAAAAAAAAGTTCCATGTCCTACTTAGTGCATTTTAAAAACACTGAGCTAACCCCAACAGCTGACCCCTTATTTAAGAGATTCAACATCAAACACTAGAGTCTTTTTGTCTGAATCTCTCCTCTATTATAATAATATGTAATAATATAATCTGTTGTCAATATTACTTTCTGGAGGATCAGCTTAAGTGAACTTTGGGTGAATCAACCCAGTATCTTAACCATATTAAAACACATAACACAGTCTTCTGACATTTAGGTAATGGATGGAACAAGTGAGACTCATAAGATGCAACTGTCTCCCACTGTCAGTTCACACTGGCTTTTGGGGGTTAAGATGATATTAGGCAGACTCCTTTACTCTTCCAATAACTCTCAGAAAATAAAAGTCCTCTGGTCAAGTTTAAGTCCCAAGAATAACCTCATTTCAGTAATGAAAATGGCCAGTTTCCTGAAATAGTCAAAAGCCTGAACTTTTCCCCATACCCCCTGGCCTCCAGCTCCACTCTGCTTCAGGAAGGAAACCTATAGTGGAGACAGAGCTGACTTCTTGCTCTCTTGTCACTCCTGCCCTCCACCCCAGCTGTGCTAATGCAGCGCCTGACCTCTCCAGAGCTAACGTTGGGAAAGGGGGTGGAGATTAAGGGTAGGAAAGGTATTACCTGACTGGTCTTCTTGTGAGCGGGTTCCAGGCCTTAGCAGGCATTTAAGGTTGACCTTCTGATTTTGTTCAGTGTGGTGTTTTATGGGACCTTCAGAGAAAAGCACCCCTCCTACCCCCCAGCTCACACATGTTCACACCATTTCTGAGGATCTCTCAACTGCAGGTCCCCTTATGAGGTCGAATGCAGCTCTTCTGGCCAGCTACTTAAAATCCCTCTCTCAGTCCTTGGGCAGCTGGAAGTATACCCTCCACGCTCAACTTCTAGGTAGCATTTCCGGGCAGGGTCTATGACATCCCATGCCAGCCTTCCTTCTCCTGACTACATCCAGTTAAGGTGAAATATGCACCTTTGACCCACTAGTGGTGGGAGGATGGCTTTCTGTATGGTGGCCCCCTGCTCTGATGCCACCAAGCAGTTCAGCAAGATTCTCACTCTTCACATCTCTCAGGTGGGAGTCATGCACAGTCTACTCACTGTGCCCCCAAATTGCAACATATTGAGCTCGCCAGGCAGCATCTCCAAAGCCCCTCTCTCCAGGCCAGGTGAGAGGGCAGCAACCTCACCCTTCCCAATGGAGGAGTAGGTAGACCTCAGAACAACCAAAAATTGATTTCCAAAGGAATTCTATTTCTAATCTAATTCCATTTCTAACAGCTTTTGTAGGCTGGAAATGGGTAACCAGCTAAGGGTCACGAAGCCAGATCTTGCCCTCCTCCTTTGCCAGCCCACTTAAGGATGGGGTGAGAGTGGGATTCTCCCTGCTCCAGCAGCTTGTTTTGGAGCACAGAAATACAGCCCAAAAGAGAGACTGTGTCTTAGCATCCAGTTGTATCTGAATAGAAATTAAAGAAACTAAATGGGGCTGAAAGAAACTAAGCTTCCACTTCCAAATTCTCTCTCCCCAACAGTTGTGAAAGTAGCCAATGATTTTCACCTCAGCTCATGTACTCACTGTTTTGCTTTGCTTAATTGTTCCTGAAACAATCATCAGTGGGTCCCACATGGAAGAGAAACCAACCAGTGCTTTAGCATCCAAGGCAGGCACTCTGAGCATCTGATCCCTTTCTGCGGAGAGTATGTGTTGAGTCTCTGTACCACTGTCAGGCACCTAGCTCTCTGCTATTAGAGAGAATAGCAGAGACAGAGAATAGCTAATCTGCTATTAGCTCTCTGAATTAGAGCTCTCTGCTTCTCAGCAAATGGTCTGCATATTTCAGTGTCTGTGTGAGCCTCAGGATCTTCAGAAAGACCTCATGTCCCTTTTCTCACCTCTTTCATTTGGTGATCCTCAGTATTCTCATTGTTATTTTTAAAAATAGATCCAGAATTAGAAACAGGAAGAAATTCTAGCTTAATGAATGTGTCCAAGGCTTCTCCAGAGAGCTCTGAGAATGGACTCTTCAAAGCAGACCATCTGACCAAATGTCTTTTCAAGGGGCCACAAAAAAGAGTGGAAAAATTGAAAGGCAGTTGGGAAAAGAGGAAGAGGGAAAAGTGGAGTGAAGCAGGCAAAAAACAGAGAGGGATGAAAGGGAAGAGAGAAAAGAGAGTGGAGAGGAAAGAGAAAAGTGTGGAGAGAGCAGAGAAAGTGGAGGAGGGGTTATTTGGGAATGAAGATTAATAGGGCCGAGAAAACATCTTGAATAAGTCACCCAGAGGTTGCTGGAGGCTATGGGTCCTCTGGAGGCCCCTGGGACAGTTTGAAGTGAGCCCTTGAGGTTGATCTGGTTCCTTGAATCACTTGTCCAGTAATTTATTACTCGACGTTGAGAGTCTTCTAGGTGTTTATCACAGTCCTTCCACTCTAGATACAGTCAGATGTGGAACTGAGGACAACAAATTAGGCATCTGAACATGGAGGCGGGGGACAGGTTAGAACTCGGAACTGATCACTAAGTACAGAAGAGCTGTTGGTCCTGTCTGGATGCATGGGAGAATGGGTCAGCCAACCTGGTATCTTGGGGCTTGAGAGAGTTCAGATATCTAATGACCATCTCATGAGTAGATGAGGGCATGTGCGGATGGATGAATGATCACATAAGTAGATAAGTAGAGTGTTCTAGCCTAGACTCTCCCAATATAAGGGCTATAGACTGGTGCCATCAAAATCACCTGGGGAAAATTTTTAGACTATAGATTCTTAGACCATACCTTTGGAGATTCTTATTCAGTAGACCTGGGGTATTTTGAATAATTGCTGCCAAACAACTCTATGCACAGCTGAGTTTGAGAACCACGGCTCAAGACAACATGGAGAGTATTCCAGACGGAAGTTCTGGGCATCGTATATGTGCCCAATATACTAAACCCTCCACCTATGTTTTTCATTTGACAGCAAACTTGAAGAATTGGTTCATTTCCTACAAGTCATGTATCCCAAACTCTGTCGGCACTGGCAAGTCATCTGGATGATGGCCGCAGCAATGCTGGTCTTGACTGTTGTGCTGGGGCTCTACGGTTCCTATAACTCTTGTGTGGAGCAGGCCGACGGGCCCCTTGGGAAATCCACTTGCTCGGCAGCCCAAAGGGACTCATGGTGGAGCTCAGGACTCCAGCATGAGCAGCCTACAGAGCAGTAGGAAACCCGACACCCAGCCAGTGCCCTGCTCCAGCACACAGCCTGCTGCCCTTTCCCCAAGCATGATGTGTCAGGCCTGGGCATGGGCACACCACTGCTGCCGTCAGGGGAACAAGCAGGGGTTCTTTCACACTCGGCACCCCTATGGGAGCTATTCACACACAGTAACTGATGTTCTTGGAGGATCAACAAAAAGCATCAGTGGACAAAGAAGTGGCCTTCACCAGGGAACTCCAACGGAAGGGACAGTTGCCTGCGCCAGCTCAGATGGCTGGGGAGAAACAAAACACCTTCTTTATAGGCTACAGTGCGAAGCCCCCTCCCGCTCCCCATTTTCCTCTCTGCCATTGATCGGAAATCAGGAAGGATTGTGTCTAAAGGCTAACTCTGCCCCCAAGGATCAGACCTGGAATTTGGAGTCTCACATGAATATCTTCCCATTTCCCATCTCATTCTTACTGACTCTCCTTCAGCCTTCCCTTCTCCCTTTTGCAGTCGGAGTTTCTCTTTACAGAAGTCAGAAAGTTTCCTTAGAAAAACGTTTAGGCTGATTTTTAGCTCAGTGCTTGAAATGAAGTGGGAAGATGCAAACAAACATATATTCCTCTGTACACATACACAGAGCACACACACACACAGCACACGCATGCATGAAGCCAACTACCCTCCAAACGTGTGCTCTGGGTATGTGTTAGGGTTAAAGCCAACCCACAGATTTTCACTAGGTGTGGGGCAGCCACCAGGCACCTGTTCAGTGAGCTTTCTACGTGGGCTTAAGATATTTGAGAAACACTGAAAACTCATGGCTTCCATGGCGAACTTGCTGGTCTCCATTTCCAGGCCTAATTCTGAGCTGCTGTAGAGCACAGTCTATCCCCTCTTTGTTCTCTCTGGTTGAGAGCAGTTAACCCGCCTCTCAGGGGGAAAGAGGAGACACGATGCACTTTCAGCTTCACTGTGCCCACATGCGAGTGTGCATCTCCACTGCAGTGTTCCAGTTTCAATGGCATTTCCAACCAAAGTGTAGGTCTCAGAGCATTCCCATTGTTTAGCAGAAAACTGAGAGTGCGTCCCACCTCCAGCTGGACTTCTCACTCCACCTTGACAGCTGCCACCTGTCTTCTTGCCTCATCAGTTCTGGGCGGTGCTGGTTTCTGTGTGGGTTTTATGGTGGTGGCTTTGCTGTTGTTTTTGTTTTGCTGTTGACATTTGTTTTTGTTTCTGACACTCATATAAAACTTACTATGAGCCAAACACTGTATTAGGTATTATATAGGGATTCATTCAATGAGTCCTCAAGAAAAAGAAAACAACTGTGACTCTTCCCATTTTCAGATAAGGCAACTGAAGCACAAAACATGCAAAGTAACTTGCCAAGGATACCCCAGTTAGTAAATCATGGGGCTGGAAGTCAAACCCAGCCAGGCTGGCCCCAGGGGCTGTGCTCTCAACCCCTGCCCTAAATTGCTTCTTCCAAAGGTCTCCTAACTGGACATCTTACATTCCAGTCCCACTCCCCTGAGTGGCCCTTCAGCCACTCCAACCATTTCTGGCTCCCAGGCTAAATTGTGTTCTCTCACTAGGTTTTCTTCTGCTGCTCTCCTCTTTTCTTCTGGTCACTCCTCAGGACCAAGTGCAACAATCATCCCCTCCATACACCTTTAATGGCCTCCCTCCAACTCCCCACCATGCCCCACATAATAGGTCACACCCTTCTCTGTGCTTTCTGGCACTTTTTAAACATTTTCATTACTACTACTAATGACCATTACTGTAGTGTATCAGAATAACTTATTTATGTGTCTGCCTTTCCTAGCATTTTTCCTCAAAGACAAGAACCATGTCTTACCCATTCTCTGGGTAAGTGCCTAGCATGGTGGCTGATGCTTGGGAGGGTATCATTAAATGTTGGTCAAAAGAACAAGTGAGCATTCAAGGGGGTGGAGAGCAGTCTGGGAACAGCTGACGTTTTGCATACTTCCCAACACCAGCATCATCACCACCAACAACTCAACGAAAAAAATAACATCTTTATTAGCCTTGACTTATTCCAGTATTTTTCAGTCTACTCTGTGACCTGATTAGCAACAACATTTCCAAGCTCAAGGGCTAGGCTTGATGCAACCTTCAGAAAGACCCACCTAAGTTAGGCCCCACTGTAAAAGCAGCCTGTTGTTCTAAGGGGGGCATCCTTTCCAGTGGCTAGAAAACCACTGTGAGAGAAGCCCAAGCCAGGGTTGACCAAGGATGTGCCATTAAGGTAAAGAGGTGCAGATCATGGCAGACGGACTTGGGCTGCATGGATGGATGGTTTGCCCTGCCTCTTCCAGGGGGACTGGATACACTGGAGAATGTTGAGGCCCTCAAAGCCAAAGACAGGATACAAATGGCGCTCCAGAGAGGCTGGCTGGGGGGCAGGACTCTAGGCTGGCAACATCCCGTCTCAGCCTCCCGCGAAGAAGAACCAGGCTGAGCTGGCCCACCGCCCACTTGGCCACAGGGTTCCCACCTTCGCTTGCCGTTGAGACAAAGGCCAGGAGAGGAGCCGCAGGGAGCTCTTGACCCTCCAGCAGCTCCACAGAAAGGCCTGCAAAAATGCTTCCAGACCAGGCCCTCAGCCAAAGGACTCTGTGAGTAAAGGGAGGTTGGGGAGGAGAAGGAACAAAAGAGTGACCACGTTTCCAAGGGCATTCCTGAAACAGGACTCCGGGTAATTCTTCAAGAAAAGCAAAGATGACCTGAGGCAATTGCAACTGTTGCCAAAGCAGCAGTGAAATGGACAGAAACAGGCCCTGTATGTCCAACAGTGATATTGATCTGAAATAAAAGTTCCCTTCAAAATGCCTCTGAGGTCTGACATTTCTGCTTGGCCCTAGGACTCTCTGTATTGCTCCCTGTGTACAGCCTGGCGGTGTAAGTGGAGAGGGAGATGCTGGATTTGTGTATCACTGGCGGTCAGCTCCTAACATTGTTAAACCTCACACAGGTGTGCTAGCCTTGAAATATAGAGTGTCACATACCTGAGTTTGAAAATAAAAGCACATTTCCAAACCTTTGGCAGCACCTGAATGCCTCCTCATTTTGTGGAGCTGGGCCACAACCTTGCCCAACCCTGAATTAGAATCTACTTTTGGATAACAGTGCCTCCCAGAAGTCCCCAGCCCTCGGGTCACTATGGGTTCCCTCCCAGGGGCTGGATCGGTTCCTCTCCTTCTCATCCTCATTCCTGATCCTAGTTTCCTGTATCTTCCTGGCCTACGTTTTTTTGTTTGTTTCTTTGTTTTAATTCATACATTTTGCTGTGATAGAGACTGTTAAGTTTTCACCAGTCTGACTTCCACATCTAGATTTTATTTTTTTTTTTAAGATTTTTTTCAATGTGGACCATTTTTAAAGTCTTTTGTTGAATTTGTTACAATATTGTTTCTGTTTCATGATTTGGTTTTTTGGCTCCAAGGCATGTGGGATCCTAGCTCCCGGACCAGGGATCGAACCTGCACCCCCTGCATTGGAAGGTGAAGTCTTAACCACTGGGCCACCAGGGAAGTCCCTAGTTATATTTTTGAGTCTTTTCTTGCAGCTAGGGGCAAGGGAATGTGGACCTTCCAGATCCAATTTCCTACATAGACTCTCCTGCCCAGTACTTTATATCCTCTATATTCCCCCTTCCACCTGCCAAATTCAGAGCATTCAGTTGAGGACCTGAGGCCCGAGAAGTTGGTGGGACCACCAGGTGGAAGCCAAGTCTTTGAATGGGCGCTCACAGAATTCAACTGTGACATGAGCAAGAAATAAAATTTTAGTATATTAAGCCACTGAAATTCAGGAATGTTTGTTATAGCCATTAGCCTCCCCCAACTAATGCATACAGAACCAGAAACAGGGTACTGCAACAACAAATTTTCAAAATATGAGACCCTGGCTTAGCAGTCAAGTGGCAGGAAACCAGAACACTGATATCAGGGACTAGAAATATGGTGACCTATGTTGTGAAGAAAACAAAAATTTTTGGTAAAATCGTACCCATGGTAACTTGAAAGACAGTCCATGGGCAGCCTATAGCTCTAGGAGAAGTGACTGGAAAGAATCAGAGCGTTGGAGTGTGTGAACCTTTATTGGCTGCCTTTTGAGAGGTATTGCAAGAAAAAGAAGGACTTGGGAAAGAAATGGCTATTTGGAAACAGAAAGGAAAGAGGATATAGAGTTCTTAGATTGAGGCTTAGAAAACCTGACTCCTTCCAAACCCCAACCAGACTGAAAAGAGCTTGAGTGAAAAAGAAGCAATAAAACTTTTCAGCTGAATTAAGATCAGAGCAGCCCTATGGTAAAGGCCAGATTAAGAATATGGCCCTTTCATCTGTGGTTTCTAATGAACTCAGGGTAGCCATCACTAAATTAGAGAGGGGGGAGCATAGGGCTGAGATAAAGAAATACATCTTGAGAATGGTGACTGGGAAAGGATTGGGGGTGGGATTATTGTACATGGAATCAAATGGAAGCAAATAGATCAGAAACCTAAGTTTGTGAGGGAATTGTATTTATTGTACAGAGATACAAGCCAGGACTAAAAACTCCTTTGATTGTTAAGTTAGAAAACAACTTTTGGGATCCTAAGCTTATATCAGCAGAAAGCAGATTGTACAAGCTGTGCTACCCCCAAGGAGCCCGTACTCCCTAATTCCCGCCACAAATGTGGCCAAGGAAGATTCTATCCAATGAAGGTGGACATGGGACATGAGAGTTTCTCCTAGAAAGCAGAATCGTGATCTAATCAAAGGTAGGTAACTGTGGTTGGCAAAATTTCTAAAATGCCTCCCCTCAAGATGTACCCCCTACCCCAATCCCTGGAACTTTTGAAACGTGAGACATCACTCCTGTCATGTTACATGGTGTGGTTGACTTTCAGTAGGGAGACCCTTTCTGGTTCTTTTGTTCCCTTCCTGTCTTCCTTCCTTCTTCCTTTTTGTAATACTTTAGCAAATGCTTGAAGGCTAACTGTCTTTCAGGTGTGATGCTAGCTTTAAGGATAATGACAAAGAGAACACAATTTCTGC